GGCTTATCGACTTCTTGAGAAGAATTCTAAGAAGAAAGTAAACCTACAGACATCAGTCTTGTTTAACAAAATCTGCTTATTGTTTTTTCTAAACAGTTTCACTACAAAATTTTAGGAAATTTCAAAACCTGAAATTTTATAAAAAATAAATAAGAGCTTATGTATTTTTTGATGCACAAACTAGGGCATTTAAAAAGTTTGTACAAAATTTCATACTATTTCCACTGTGAGATTGAAGATATCATGATATATCAGGCATAACTCTCTGGCTCAAAGTTAGTTGCAGCTTTAAGCTTAGAATACATTTGTTAAAACTTAAATGTTCTTTTCATCAATTTTTAGTTATCAATATAGAGAAAAAAAAAAAGACTTACTTCATGTAATTTCGAATCTTAGCTTCAAGATCCCTAGACAGTTCTTTATGAGGAGGTGTTATGTAATCTTGAATTATCTAAAATAAAATAAAAAGTTTTGGAAACACATCTATCATTCTTTGATTGGAAACATTTTTAACACTTAGAACTTAAAAACGTTTACAAATATCCCATTTTTGTTTTTTTATATTGTAGAAATATTATGAGAGTTCGCTTCAAACTATATGTTAATATACTTGGTTAAAGTTTCAAAAACGTAAATAACTTTCTAATACACCATTTTTTTCAAAGAATAACAACAACATTTTGATTCATTTTAGCTTTAGCATAAAAGTGGCAAGCGTAATTTCATCACAATAATGAGAACAAATAGCAAAAAATATCAAATTGTAAAAGAACAGTAATGTCTGGCACAAAATGAAGACTTTAATATACAAAAAAACTGTGAAGATGGCCTATTCTTAGAATAGTATTGTACTTATCACACAAAACATCTATTAACAGTATTAGTCAACTCTTTTAAAACTTAGATTGTTCATGTTTATAAATATACTTAAATAGTTATGAAAGGGTGAAATTAGTAATTTCTTCTACAACAACCATGACAGGTAGCTGTAAAATACTCAGAACAGATAAAAAACATGCATAATTAAATTTTAACTTCATAAAGAGCAAATAATATTTTGTAAAATGTAATTAAAAGTTTAACAAAAGTGTAAATCAGAAAACACAGTAGAATTTCCCTAAAAAAAGTTATAACTATGTTTCAATAAGATAAAGCATAGGATTCTTTTTTCAAAACAACTTGACAGAGCTCAAAAAGGTTAAGAATCAAAATAGCAGCTCATGTGTTTTGAGCATTTGTATTAATAAAAGAAAATCACTATATTTGAATACTCAGAAGTATATGGCTAATTGCTCTGTGTATAATTAAAATTTCTCTCTCTCCAAGTTGCAATTCCAAATGCTACAAAATAAATTAAATACAAAATCCGTTAATTGCTAATTTGTTTACTGACTTAAATTGACAGTTTTATAAGAAAGGTTAACAAAAATGTATTGTATTTTTCCAAGTAAATAGTCTAAGATCAAGGCATAAACTTTTGAATATCTAGTGAAGCATCTATCACATTGCTTTGAGAACTGTTATTCACTATCAGCGTTAAAAGATATGATTATATAATTTATCACATTAATTCCTTTTAGATATACAAGTTTTACAACCAATGGTATCAGGTGCCAAAAAATGGGGTGGAGATGGGGCTAATACCCAATAATGTTTATTGCTTATACTAATATACCAATAAATGTGTACATTCACTTCCTGGGTTATATTTGGCTATGTACATGTAACATTTGCATATTTTTATACAAATTTGCAGGTCATACACTAAGAGCAGGCATCCGAGTGTACTCGAAGTTATCATTTCATAATTGAATAATACACACAAATTATATAAAGCACATGTCATGCAATATATATCCTAATAGTACATACAACATAAAGCATGTGCAACGGAAGCATCATACGAAGGGTAAGTGAGTAATTACAACTGTCTTTGTTGCAGATCAACAATAAAAATGATTCCAGAAACAACATGAGTAATATCTAATCTGATTGACTTTACTCCTTCTGGTTGAAGCAACAGCACCATCAAGTATGCTCTGCCATAGTGTTATAGAGCTAACACTTAAGAAGCTTCAACACAAAGAAAGACTGCTTGTAAGAACAAAATGTGATTGGTAGAGTAACTGTCAAATGACAAAGAGAGTTAAGGCTTGGATACATCTCTATAAGCCCTTCCTTTACCATATGCAAGTATATCTAATGAATTACTTTCAATATGAGAGGCTGAATGACTGCTGCAACTGCTCTAGCAAACAGCATGTACTCAAAAACCAGTTCACAGCTTGTCAGGACTATATATATGGGCTGGAATTCTTTTACAGTCAGTGTCTGTGACTTGTTTATCATGATAATTCGAACAATTGATTTGTTTTAAAATAATATATTCAAAACACGTCAAATGTATGTACAAAAATTCTTTACACTATAGGATATCACAGTTTCATCTAAAACTCTAAATAATTCTTGTTTCTTGTCAAAAGTCCACAGAGGCTGATTCAATTACTTTAGAATCCAATTGATAAACCAAAATATTTTTCTCCACTCTTATAATAACAGTATGAGTGAATAACTATGTGGGTTATCACAGTTGTATCCTGAACATTAAATAGTTGAATCCTTTTTGTCAAAGTCCATGCAGACAGGTTCCATTACTTTAGAACATTCTTTGATAAGACAAATTGTTCTCTTCATCTCTGTTGTTACAATACAGCTGTGAAACACATTATAGGAATCACCTGTTAAAGCTAATCACTCACACTTCACATTTTCTTTCACTAACAAACATTTTTCTCACTGAACACCTTGTCCAACTGAGGCCTTGAACTTTCTACAAACTATGAGATATTATAATGTAACAAAACCCGCATAGTGAGAAAAACTTGAGAGGTTTCGAGAAAGATGATGTCACCAATACTTCAACAAATGAATTACACACACAACATACGACTCTTACTGAGTTACTTCACAAAACTTGTTATAACTATTGCCTTTAAAATAATTAACTTTAACACTTGTTATGAAACTAAATAATCATTAATTATTAGATCGGTAAATGAACTAAATAATAATCCTTACACTAAACAGTCTTGTATATACAACACAGCTGATGCTGCCTATAAAGAAGCTGGCCAAGGTTTTGCAACACATATTTTCTCTGCATTTGAATACACTGAACAATTAAAGAACATCAAGAGCAGCAACATGTTTTTCAAAAATTGGAAAGAGTATTCTGCATTAAATCAAATACCATATAAAAAAAATGACTTGCCAATTAATATGGCTGAGTTTTAAAATGTGGATCCAATTTACAGGTAACTTCTCTAGTGTGAGGTTCCGAGTACATGAATACTGTTTGTTGTTCTTTGAACTCTTGCAAAATGCTGGTTTTTCTCTTTTCTCATGCATTTAAGTTCTGAAACTAACACATGAACATCTTACAAATTAAATGGTCATATTCTTATCCTTGAAAATAACTGAAGCCACATGACATAATATTGGAAGTTCACATGTAAAGACCAGGTAGAGGTAGAATTCAAAGACATTTCAAAAGGGATGAAGCTTCACCAGAAGTTTCATGGTCAAATTTACTATCAAGCACAACAGATTCAAATGTACACTTCACCACAGTGCTGAGAAGTATGGTAAAATTTTCTACTCAGTTGGACCAATGTACTGTGCTCAATGACTGCAGTTTGCAAGTTCCTTAAGGTTGTACTTACTGATTGTCAACACCATTTTGCTTTGTGCTACCTTCAATAAATGATCATTTCTGGACTACTCCAAAATTTTTTTCACTATTTTGTTTTTCTACAACCATTAAATAATGGTGTGCAAATCAGTTCACACCAACCTTTGGAGTCAAATCTTTCACATATCTGTATTCTGGTGTAATGACCTCATATAGTAAGACACCAATTTTATCATTTTTAAAATGTTCTGCAACAATTAAGTGCATTATGAGCAGAAAAAACATACAACAGATGGAGTATCATAAAACCAAATAATTATAGCTATACATGTGGTTCATTATAAGGAAAATATAAGCTTGAAAGCTTTGCAAGTTAGCCACAATTAAAAATTGAACTGTTAAAACTTCCAATGTAACAACTCTATTGAAGTCAATTTACACGACACTGAAACTACTATATGAAAATTCATTCAATATGAAAACAAGATATCAGAAATATACAGGGGTTGGACAAAATAATGGAAACACCTAACATTTTGGAATCATAATCTTTGAACATGTTATAAACAATTAAAACTTGACATATTTTAATGTTTTATTGTTTATTATTGTTGCTATTTGATATTTTATTTAAATTAACTGCTTTTTACAGATATCTAAAAAAAATTTGGTTATAACCTTATAAAAAT